AACTAATTCATTCAATGCAATTTATGTGGATCTTTACTGAGTTTGGTCATACACTGCAATTCATAACAATACAGGAACAAGTGTGTTATTAAAGAGGAAAAATGTGTGCATATATGAATACATACACCCGTAGATAAACTATATCACAGAAACGTACATAAATATTGTCAGGGAGAAAGTTAACAGCTTTAATCATAACCTCACAATCCTAGTAAGAAAATTAGGCAAATTAACCTTTTCATTCCAGAAGAAAGCTTAAAATGAGTTGCCTCAAACAAATCGGTAATCGGATTTTTCAAAGGACCATTTAATTAAAAAGAAATTGTCCTCTTTGATAAGACTGTGCGGTAGTGTCGAAAATTAATAACTGTCAAACGAATTGAAATGACCATCCAAATCACGTTATTTATCGAAATTTAACAACAAAAACAGTTTAGTAGTAGAAACATTACCAGAATCATCAAAAAGAAGTCTGCGTTTCAATTTAATTCCTTCCACTTTGGTCGTTAATAAATTTCTTCTTACAGTGCTTTTTATACTCAACAAGAAATAAAGAGGCATCATCTTTATATATATAGTAATTTTGTCATTTTTAAGTTGATATAACTGTGATTTCATGAATAAACTAAACTAAATAAAGATATAACTGTTGAAGTTCAAATGAGGGAAATGTTTGACGTATTGAATGACAGATTTACACAGTCGTAATGTGTGCCACTATATATTTTCGTGAAAGTGACAATTCCTCTTTGGTTTTTAATATTCATAGTTTTAATAAAAAAATCTTAGTTTGACCTGCAAAAAATGATCATGGATAATTGGTTTTTACTCCAATGTACTATATCACAAATTGTTTTAATTTCAAGTGTCTGTACATAAACTAATTTTATTCAATTAAACTGATATTATTATATCCGTTTATAACCTTCACAAACACAATTTGTCACTTGACGTGTTCATGTTGCACAACTTTCATTGTGCAACCATAGCAAATTAAATGAAATGAATACTTTTTTATATGCAAGATTAAATCTGCAGGACAGATAGAAACTGTAGATATTATTAAAGAAAAGAATAATTAGTTTCGGAAGTTTGATAACTACTGTAATGAGATATTGTTTTTTAAACACCAAGTATTAAAATAGTTCATTTTGAATTTTACTTCTTTCAACTTGTTGAAACGGTTCTGTTGACGACAACAGTTTTATATAAAGCGTTAATAATTGTACAATACAACATGTATTTTTTGATTGATTGATTGATTGATTGGTGTTTAAGGCCACTTTCAACACTATTGTGCTAATTCGTGGCGATCAGTTTTTATTGGTGGAGGAAGTCGGAGTGCCCGGAGAGAACCACCGATCTTGGGTAGGAAAACTAACAATCCTAGTCAATTAAGATTGAAGTTGTGTGCACCTGCCATGTGCGGTATTCGAACTCACAACCTGCTTGTGATAAGTCGTTCGACTACTTAGACCACTCCGCCACCGAGACACCCAATTTTTGTTTGTTTTTCAGAATTTTTAAGCAAAAACAATTTGTAACATTGTATTATGCAGTTCTGTTAAAACTGTATCTGTGGACTCAACGTAATTAAGAGAATATCACTTTTCAGCCGTCTTAGTAAAAAAAACAATACCAATGACATGAATGATGAAATGATAAAAATCAAATAGCTTTAAATATCTGAAAGTTTAAAGTTTTTTAAACCTTTCATACTAGAAAAAGAATGATTACAAATCAAACTGAAATGATATTTTAGTGCACCCAGCCATCATTAAACTTAGTAAGAATAATTTTGCCTTCTTATATCGACTATGTTTGCACTACAACATGGACATAATCATACTTAGGGGAAACCTGTCTAAACCAAACCTTTTGAAACTGAACGTTTTGTTCAATTTCAAAAGGTGTTTGTTTAAACAGGTCATACTAATGTAAAGTGATATTTGATTTTAACAGTTGATGTAACTATTTATTATCAATAATAATTACTGAATATAACGGAAAGTAATATTTACTTTAAACAGTGATATTATTTCGTAAAACTATTTTTTAAAACAGATTCTATAACTATAATCTTTGTTTTAAATAAGTTATAATACTATATAGATTTATTTATTTTAAACCACCTATATTACTTCGATTTTTTTTATCTATCTTAATCAGATTATACTGCTATAAAAATATTATATAATTTTAATAACTAAGATATTCCTATAAAATAATATCAATTGTAAACATGTTCTACTACGTCATGTTATATTTTTTTCAAACAAGTTATATGTTTTATCAGTTTTTCAACGTTTGTATAAGGTTTTTGATTTTCAAATATTTTGGTGTCGAGTATCGTTGAGAGACATTGTTTGTGGAAATGCACATCTGATGCAGTAAAATAGGTTCCGTTTATGTTATAAAATAATTATAAAAAAAAACTTCATATTTGGACATTCAAACTCATAAGTCGAAAATAAACTGACAACGCCATCGCTAAAAAAAAAGACCGACAGACAAACAGTAGTACACAAAATAGACAAACAGTAGTACACAAAACATAGAAAACTAAAGTCTGAGCAACACGAACACCACCAAAAACTGGGGGTGATCTCAGGTGCTCCTGAAGGGTAAGCAGATCCTGCTCCATATGTGGCACCCGTCGTGTTGCTCATGTTAGTAAAAACCAGATAATAAGTCAAATCTGTAGGTCATATTCGGGAAAAGGGGGGACGAAATTGTAGTTACGACATTAGGAACATTTCCGTTATCATCTGTGAAACGGATATTCCATTACGACCAACCAACTCGTGATAGCGTCCGTAAAACTTACGAAGGGGTGATTTCAACTTCACCACTTGGAACTCTTGGTTTAATAGCTTCCTTGTGAGCAGCGACCCTTTATCAAGGAAATCGTGATAGGAAATACAAGGCTAAGACAAGATACTTGTATCTACTTTGGCCATTCTTTTTTATGAAACAAAGCAGGACCAACTCTTTAGTTTGGAATGGGGAATACTTGTGTGTAGTGTAGAAAAGTCAAATGTACTAATACTATTACAAGATGAAAGAGTCATAGAATTTATGTACTCTAAATGATCTTTGAAATTTTTTAGTATCCATATCTGAACACGCCACCTCTAGAATAGGTAGTTTCACAATAACTTTGAAGCCGGGCTTTGATTGCTGATAACATTCATTTTAATAATTTAGAAAGAGGTTTCGTCGAGCACTTGGAAGACCAAGCAATATACCGTTGTGTGTAAGGACACTTGTGTAGTTTAGGTATCCAATACAGTGATGGAAGATCCAGTTCTTCATCTTTGGTTGAAATTCCAAAGGAACATAGAACAGACCTATGATTATCCAGGATTTCCTCTTTAGTAAGTGTCGTGGGGGTATATGTTGAGTTTCTTAGTGAATTGGCAATACCAAATTCATTCATCAAGCAGTTAATGTAATGTGATATACACACAAACACGATGTTGCTTGGGGCTTTATCTGCGGGGACAACATATTTGTCATGGAGGTAGGACAAGTGTTTTGCAACATTTGGGTCTTTAAATATGGGTTTTCAATTAATACGTTATGCTCGTGCATGTTCACACTATACAGACTTCATATACAGGAGTGTACACCTTATGCAGAAACTGCCCCAATAGAGGTATGAGGAGGAAAGATTAAAAAAGACACTCCGTAAATTTTATTGATACCATCACGAATTGGTTGATCTATACGATGCGTCTGTGTCTAAACTAACTAACGACATTTTTACCACGTCTTAGATTATGGTTTACAATCTACGTCGTCTGTCTGCTAAGTACCGAACGTGACCTATTCCCGAATATGACTGTTTTGCTGAGTGTGAATTCGCATTGCTATACGACGTGTCTCGGTATTTATACATCAAACATTCATGAATTTAGTTATAATGTTTCTTTTATAAGTGCGATATTGTGTTATGTCTTATCGTTTGTGGTTTGAATTCTGTATTTTCGGTACATTTCACATACGTCTTATATGTCAGTATAGTCGAGTTAATTTCCATTTTCCATGGATAAAGTATTGTGTTAGTCCAAATAATTATGACGTCGTCACAGCATTAATTTAAAATAGCCTATCAAGACCGTCATAATCATGATAATTATTTGGACTATTATTGTGAAAACAATTGTGAATTTTTGGATCTCGTTCCATATAATTGTATGAATTTCAAGATTATATATACGTCACAAAAATACGTCACTTTTTCTGGCATTGATCCATTCATGTGACGAAGTTTGTGTCCTGTGCTGTCGTTAGTTCATGGTAGATGTCCGTTGTTATTCTGCGGTTTACATGTTGTAATGTACTATTATATTATTTATTCATGCATTTCTCTGTGTTGGGTGTTCTTGCGTTTGTTTGTACTGTATTCCTGTCACGTAGTGTTGTCATTTTAGCTATATTTTTTAACATTGCCATATAAGCGGGTGGTTTGGCTAGCCATAAAACCAGCTTCAACGCACCATTACTTCTTAAAATGTCCTGTACCAAGTCAGACATATGACAGTTGTTACCAAATAGTCCGTTTCTATGTATGTTGGCGGTTGTTTTTGTTGCAGTTCAGTGTTTCTGTTGTTCCGTTGTTTTCCTTTTATAGTTGATGTTTTTCCCTCGGTTTTAGTTTGTAACCAGGATTTGTTATGAACTAATAACCAAAAAAAACCCCTTTTCCCTTGGGAATCTGCGCATAGTCAAAATAACTGTTTGGGTATGTGCACGTAGTAAAAATGATTTTTTTTAAAAACGTTGAAAAAATAACCAGTTGTCGTCTGGCGAAAATGACAGCAGACTCAAGATTTGGTTGCAGTTTTGTGTTAGGCATAGAAAATATTCCTCAACAAAAAGACATACAAATGCAAAACATACAACAACAATAGCATTGTCTAATATTTAGTGTCAGTATAACAATAAATCTGTGACCTAAATCAAAAGTTAATAATAAAATATCTAAATTATATTACCTTGAAAAAGTTACTTAACGTCTGTCCTGTCTGGACCTGATAAAGATAACCTTTTCTCTTTATTCTGTAGATAGTTTGGATATTAAGTTTTTACGAAGGCCATAATTGTACATGTATTTAATTTCTCCTTATCATTTGAGTCAAATTGTAACAAAGTTAAGTATATATTTCCTTCTCCTTAGATGGGAAACCCTTAAGACTTTATTGATACTTATATCTTATGTAATATTAGTAACATTATTGACTCTTTCAAGTGTTTCAAAGTTGAGAATCAAAAACCCTTGACAATTTTTGTAACAGGGAGTATCGATTTGTCTATAATATATCTTTATTTTTAATCAGCTTTCTTTCATCGACTTTTTGTTTAGTAATTGGATTTAAATCTATTGATAATTTCAACATGATTGGACAAAAACAATTGTCGATTTTGAATCTCATTTGCCTCATTTATTCATTCAAATGTCAGGATTTAGAGAAGTTTGTTGCCCCAATACTGGACAACAGAGAGGCATTTCGTCTCCTGGTAGATGAAGGCTTCTCTTTCCTTTGCAGGGCCGGCTTAAGGTTCCTGGATGTAGTGTCCGGGTCTTTGGCGTTGATCCAGGTGAGTTGGACTGTAACCTGGTTAGAACTGGCAGTAAATTTCCACTCAGGTTCTTTTCCTTCTAACTTTATTGTGGCTAAAAGCGCTTTCAAATCGTTCGATAATTCCATAATAATTGTTCACGAGGTTGACGGTTCGGAATACAACTCACGATGTAATAATACCACATCATCTTATTTTATATTGATATTTTATATTGATATTTATTTTTTGTAAAACGCATTTAGTGGGAGTTTTAACTAGCTATAGAAACAGGTTAAACTCACCATTTTCTTCGGAAATTTTACAACCAAATCAGGAATATGACATTTGTTTTCCGTTTTGTTCGTTATTTGATATAAACTAACGCTTAATTTGAACAGTTGTTATGGACTTCCCCACTCGAATTACCTTTAAATGGAGTTTGGTATTTTTTGTAAATACTTTATTAGTGGTATAATGACATTTAAAGCGATATGTAATCATATTTGTTTACAGTGTAAAAAAAACCCAGTCAAGTCTGTAATGCGCACGCATGATTAGTCACCAGCAAGGTGTGATATTTGTTCAAATGACGATTTAAACCTCTTTGATATACACGATTATTTTGACCTGATTATATTCGTGTTTGTTTTTCAATATTTCATTGAAAGGTGATATTTTCCAAATCTTCCATACAAATTTAGATTTTTATAACTGTCATTATTGTTTTTAAAAGGAACTAATATTAATAAGGTCACATATTAAAAAAAAGTTATAAGTAAAACTACAGTACTGTATATTTATTTACAAAATAACACTTTAAAATCTGTTTTCACTGCAAAATACATCGGCATCACTCCACAATCTTAAAAATTTAACTGTCTCGAGTGAAGAAATATCGTATTACACTCGATACAATGTTAGACCTATATTTATTTCATTGCTGTCATGATCAAATCACCTTCCCTTTTATATAAATTTCGGTCAATGATAATATTGAAATGATCTTTGAATTTCAAACTTTCCCTGAGAAGCCTATACGTAATTGACTGAATAGTGTCATGGCTAATTGAATGACCTTGTTTAAACTGGTCAATTAATAGGAGTTTGACACTTTTTGATAAAGGAGATGTCAATGATAATTGCTAACTATGAGATACGTATAGATTTTTACATTGGTACCAGTTGATTATCAAATCCTTACATATTTACTTATGAATTATCGGATTTATCTAATCGAGATAATTAAATCAACGAATAAAATTCGATAATTAAAATATCGAGATTGGACAAATCCGTGAGTAACTATGTGATAATCTGTTTATCTGATGATAACCAAATGCATTTTCATTTTTGATAAGCGAAACTCCCCTTTGAGTGCCTTCCACATTCCTGATTTCTACGTCATACAAATATAAAGTTGTCTATTTAAAGGTTATGCACATTAAACTTAGTCAATCATCTATTGATATTATCGGCACCATATGTTGATTAAAGTTTTTTAAACAATGGGTCGTGAAAGGGTTAAATTGCCAAATAATTAGAGAAACAAGAATAATGTATTGGGAAGTTTACTTAAGAGTGAGATGTTGTGCTAAAATAGATAGCAATGATTATTAATTGAATATAAGTTGTAGTTAATCCCCTTCCCCCATAATCATGTTACATGTACTTTAACTTATAATTTGTTAAAATATGTTTTAATATCAATATATTGATTTTTTTAAAGAAAGATCCGTTAAACCATCGTTTGTTGTGTTTGACATAGAAATCACATAGGGACCCACGGAGGTTAGAAATAATAGCAAGAGTTTGTGATGTGGATATCGCCTTAATAGTATAATTATTCTTGCAGGGTACGTATAGGAGTGCTTTTCCTTACATCGCAGTTGTATAAACGCCATCCATTTACTGTGCAAGATGAGTACTCTTTAGCTCAGCTGGTAGAGGGGTGGCTTATTGTGCCAGGGATCCTTGATTAGAAACCCGGATGGTCTAATGATAATTTTGGGAGACAAATCATGCCCTCTTGTTATTTACACATATATATATATATATATATATATATATACAATGCACAGTGGACACAACGTGCCGATCTATGAGTATTCGCAGAGATAAAGGATGATTCAAAGCCAACTTCAACTTAATATATAAATCATGATTCCCCAGACTAAAGTATGGATCAATGAATTTCCAACTGATTTAGTGTATTGGCGGCGCCTAAGACGTCTTCAGAAGTTTACGAAAAGCATACCTTGTGTAATGCCATTATATACGTATCGACAGCATGTAGGTCCGTTAAGCAATTCATACTTAGTTATCCAAAGGTGTTCATAACTGTTAAGCAGTACATAGTTATGTTTTTTTTTAAACAAATCAATGCTTGTACAATTAATGTAAAGACAATATTAAAAAACGTATTAGATTTGTATTCTCATCCAAAATATATCAGTGCGCATACTGTTATGTTTACTATTTTTAGCGCCAGAAAATGCACGTGCATGTATAATTCAGATAAAAAAAACATAGATAAAACATAAATCCTAAGAGTTCCTTTCTGATGGCTAGACAAATGGGAAATCTATAAAGGAAGAACCAAGGACATTGAAATAAGAAAACTGATCTGTCCAACATTTCTTAGGGGGTAATATTTTTTTACACTTAGTCTATGTCTTAAATTTTCCAACCATAGTTGCTGTTCTGTCCGTTAAATGTTATTTAATTGCTTTTGACAAATTTACTACCTTATCCAAATATTTTGTGGAATATTAAAGCTAGGAAATATTAAATGACAGAAAAACGTGATTTCGTATCTTTTTTGAAAGCCGTCCTTTTAAAGTGTTTTGAAAATTTTTGAATTGGCACCAAACCGTTTTACCAGAAACATCTTGCTGACAGTTCCATATCCTTACATTACATATGTAAAATGCGGAGGTGCAAATGTATCATATACTGAACGGGATAGCCGTTACCATATAAGGTGTGTCATTTCAATTCTTTAAACACGGGAAACACATAAGAAACGTTATATGTGCTTTGAAGTGTAATGTCTCTGATCAAGAGTGATCACTATTAATTAATTCATTAATAAACGATGTATGCATACTTTAGCATTCTTTCCTTTTGGTAATTTACAAAAAGCGTATTATTTCTTTATGACTTTAGTAGACAGGACAGCATGTTCTACATGTTCTATTCATGCTGTTCAAAATAGAAAAAAATAAAGAACAACAATATGTGTCGACATTGTGCTTTTGTTGTTATTGAATTCATATTAATTGAGACTTGAGAAAATCGAATCCTCTTCCTGATCTGTGGAAGTATAAACATTAGCGAAAAATTTGAGAACGATAACTTGATAAATAATCATCATTTAAAAATCCGCAAACAATTATCATAATAAGAGTCTACTATTTCCTCTGTGAATGATTGCTGTCGCTACACATATATTGTTGCTTTATCTTTGATTTTCTTATTATTTTTTTGTTATCTTTATTTATTATTTCGTTGGGTTTTTTTGCTATGGTCTTGTCTGTGTTTATTTGTCTGAGGATTTTTGAATGTCCACTTGCTATGTGCTCTCTCATTCTAGTCCTACTTGTTGTTCGGCAGTCTCAGGTTTGTGTCGTTTGAGTTAACTTTATTATTCCTTATCTAGCTAGGCACTTGGACTTCCGCCTTCAATAAAAGCTAATCGCCATCAAATAGTACAATAGTGTTGAAAGTGGCATTAACACAAATCAATCAATCAATCTTTTGAATTGACAAGAATTATGATCAGCTCTAGTTTTCTATTTATGTCAGATTAAGTGAATAAGTTAATTCCTAATTGATACAATCTCATAAATCCTTTTCTTCAATATGAAAACGAAATGCTTGTTTTACTTAAAAAGTTAATTAAACAAAAATACCGAACTCCAAGGAAAATTCAAAACGGAAAGTCCCTTAACAAAAAATTGTAAAATCAAAACCTCAAACGAATCTAACAAATGGAAAACAACTGTCCTATTCCTGACTTGGAACAGGCATTTCCTTATGTAGAAAATGGTGGGTTAAACCTAGTTCTATAGCTAGCTTATCCTCTCACTTGTATGACAGTCGTGTAAAATTCAATCATATTGACAACAATGTGTGAGCAAAACAAACAGACATAATAGGTAATTAATGTCAAACATTGGGGAACAACAGTCAACATTGTGTTATTATCTTAACCAGTATAAAAACAAACAACTATGTCATGCAAGAAAACAAAATGGCATGTATACACTCTATAGACAAACCACATCAGCAAAAATGAAAGACAAGAATACAAAATATGACCAAAGCACAATGGCGGGATGTATAGATACCTGGCCACGCCAAAAGGATATTACCAAAAATGGACTAAACAGTAAAGGATAGAAATATACAAAGACAAATAAAAAGAACACTATAACACGTAATTAAGATGATCAACAACGTCAGTACCTAGAATCTAAACTTCAAG